TGTCTCATAAGTTAGTTATGTCTAAGAGCTCACAAGAGATGTACCTTCCTTGGGTTCCTCTTTAAAGAGAATTAAGTTTCTAAAAGGAAAGAAGGAGAAGGAAGGGAAAAGAGGGAGGGGGGAGTGAAATCACCTTTGAGAAGCAAACATGTAGAACAGCCCTGGTCTAGATACTGAGGAACAGTTCTCTCAGCTTTGATAGTCCACTCTTTCTTTTTTGTTTTGCTTCCGTTCTTTCTGTTTCTTTCTCTTTCCTGCACTAAACAGGAGAGGGAGGAGGAAGGGGGAGGAACTGGGAGAGAGGGCAAGAATGGTGGGAAGAATTGCTATGTTCCTGATGGTATATTTATGAGATACCTACAAATAAATTATTTTTAATTTTTTTCAAAATAAAAGCAAAGTTTAGAGTCCTTTGGAATAGTGCACACATTAGTAACAAGAAGGGAAGAAAGATGCGTACAACACTATAAAGTCATTGAAGTTAGTATAAATTAAATGAGTATGACATAAACGGAAAGAATCTCCTCTCAAAAAGAGGATCCACAGGGGCTGACGTTGTGGCATAGCAGATAACACCTGTGATGCTGGATCCATAGGGACACTGGTTCCTGTCCCAGCTGCTCCACCTCCGATCCAGCTCCTTGGAAGTGGCCTGGGAAAAGCAGAAGAAGATGAGCCAAGTGCTTGGGCCCCTGCACCCATGTGGGAGACCCAGATGAAGCTCCTGGTTTCAGCCTGGCCCAGTGCTGACCATTGAGGCTGTCTGGGGAGTAAAGGGTGGAAGCAAGTTGGTTGTCTGTCTGTCTGTCTCTCTCTGTAACTCTTTCAAAAGAAATAAACAAATCTTTTTTAAGGTTTATTTGTTTGTTTGAAAGGCAGGGTTACAGAAAGGCAGAGGCAGAGAGAAAGAGAGAGAGCAAGCAAGCTCTTCCATCTGCCAGTTCACTCCCCAAATGGCTGCAATGGCTGGGACTGAGCCGATCCGAAGCCAGGAGCCAGGAGCTTCTTCCAGGTCTCCCATGCGGGAGCAGGGGCCCCAGCACTTGGGTCGTCTTCTTCTGCTTTCCTAGGCCATAGCAGAGAGCTGGATCAGAAGTGCGGCAGGCAGGACACGAACCGGTACCCCTATGGGATGCCGGCGCCATAGGCAGAGGCTTGGCAAAAAAAATGAATAAATATTAAAAAACATGATTCACCACAGAAATTATGAAGCAAAATCCGGCTTGTAATCAGGGTCCATGTAGGATATCTCCAAAGTTCTTGGTAAAGGAATAGATACAACTTTGAAACAATGCCAGGTGAGGAGAGGCTGCTCATGGGGTCAGCAGAAAAAACACAGCAGGAATGAACAGGTGCTTAGCCAGCAGTGCCCCACAGGGGACCATGGGGCTGGTTAAAACCACATAAAAGGAGCTGTCATCCAGGTGCCTCATCGGGGCTTTGTTATGCAATAGCTCTGAGCATGACTGGGAATAGATCCTGGATGCATTTTTCTGGCTTGCTATTTTTCCAAAATCGCTTCAGAAAACTTTGTGTTTCAAAGATCCCCTTCGTCCTATACGCTAGACCCATCTCTATTTTCTGACCCTCTAACCTATCACATCAAGAGAGATTTTAGACTTAACCTCCTTGATAATCTCGCTGGAGAAAGAGGAAATGGAACAGGAATGACAAGACTGGCATTTCAGTAGACAAGGCAAATAAAATTGAAGATTTATCGCCCAATCTCAAAGAAAACATAAATGACCTAGCAAGGAAGCTCTCTTGTCTCCAGGTTCAAGTGGATTCATGGTCAGGAGTAGAAATCCAGAACCACTGGAGGCTAGACCTCCTCAAAGCCAAGAGAGGTGGACTTGGCCTCTTTTTGGCTTTTACACCAATAAATTGGGTATGATAAGAGATGGGATCAAATTTTTACACCAATACATTGGGTATGGTAAGACATGGGATCAAACGCATAAAAACTGTGCTAATGAGATGTATTCTCAAGGTCACTCTGCCTCGTTTTGGCCATCTTTCCCACCATGGGCAATGTCTCTAATATCTCCTTTTATCCTCATACTCATAGTGCTCTATTTCTACCATGCATAGTTAACATATTCCAAAGGTTCTTGCAGGAACAAATGACGGCTCTATCTCAAGCCATCTACAGGAACATCAGACTTCTCTCCTTCTTCAATCAATCTGACCCTGAGTATAGGTTTTGCCCCACATCTACACCCAGAATCAGCAGGAAGCAGCCGGAAAGACACCAGTGCCCCTCTCCTTTTCTGTACTCAGAGTCAGGATGGATGGAACGAAGACACGAGTCTCATTCCAGCTCACTGCCCCAAAGATAGATAAAATCAGAATTTACCCCTTGTCCCTGAATCCCAATTCAATCTCATACCCTCTTGTTCTCTACCCTACCCCCTTCATTCTTCTCCAGGTGTGGAGACATTGGCCTGGTCATGCATTTTTGAAAAGTGCCTGTTCCAGCTCTCTGCTGTGGCCAGGGAGTGCAGTGGAGGATGGCCCAAGTCCTTGGGCCCTGCACCCCATGGGAGACCAGGATAAGTACCTGGCTCCTGCCATAGGATCAGCGCGGTGTGCCCAGTCATTGATGGGTGAACCAATGGCAAAGGAAGACCTTTCTCTCTGTCTCTCTCTCTCTCACTGTCCAGTCTTCCTGTCAAATATATATATATTTATACTAAAATGATCTTGTGTATATGAAGATAATTGAAAATGAATCTTGGCCGGCACCACGGCTCACTAGGCTAATCCTCTGCCTGCGGCGCCGGCACATCAGGTTCTAGTCCCGGTTGGGGCGCCGGATTCTGTCCCGGTTGCCCCTCTTCCAGGCCAGCTCACTGCTATGCTCCGGGAGTGCAGTGAAAGATGGCTCAAGTGCTTGGGCCCTGCACCCCATGGGAGACCAGGAGAAGCACCTGGCTCCTGCTTTCGGATCAGCGCAGTGCGCCGGCCACAGCGCGCTGGCCGCGACAGCTATTGGAGGGTGAACCAATGGCAAAGGAAACCTTTCTCTCTGTCTCTGTCTGTCTCTCTGTCTCTCTCACTGTCCACTCTGTCAAAAAAAAAAAATTTTTTTTTAAAAGTGCCTATTAAGGATGACACGGCATTTTTGGATTTGTCTCCTTCTTGCCACATGTTTCAGAGCCTTGAGATGGCTTGATTATTTGACAAAGGAAACTTGATTCTCACCACCTTGACTCAGTTGCTAAGAACAAAACATGCAGGCTGCAGACTGCCCATTGCCACGAGGAGGCCGTCTGGGTGACAGTGACACGCAGGTGAGGCAGCCCAGAGCCCCCCCAGCACTGCTCTGGTCCAGTGTCACTTTCACAGAAACAGAGTGCGTGCACCAAGGGACCAGAGACGACAGTGTTCTCCTTCTCACGCCCCATTTTTCTTTGTGAAAAGAAGAAATCCCTTTGAATAGACAATAACAAATAAACCTCTTGTACTCATAAACCTCTGGTTGAATCTTCCTGACACTCGGAGTTTCTGTTTCGCAACGTGGGCTCCCTGGACCCCATCCCAGTGTGCTCAGCCTCCTGCCCCTCTGGCTCACGGGACCTGTGTCCAGTGTTTGGTGTGGAAGACACATTGCAAGCATCTTTGGGACTGTCTGAGGCTTCTTCCGATGAAAAATGCATTGAAAAGAAAATTCTGGCATGAAGATGAAAACTTTCAAAGGTACAAATACTTAAAAAGAAACAACTCACAGGTTTTGATTTTCCAAAGTGACTCTGGGCACTGTGCCCCACTTCTCAGGGGGGCATGTAGGAACAGTCCCTGAGGTCTGAGGCTCCCACACCTGTCTGCACCAGCCCAGCAGTGAGCAGTCAGCTTTGCAGGCCACACAGCTCAGTCACAAGTTCTGTGTGCTGGTGCTGGTGCTGGTTTTTAACCTCCCTCTAAAGCTATGAAAACTTGGGGCAGTGTTGGGGCACAGTGCGTCAAGCCTCCACCTGCAATGCCTGGATCCCGTATCGGTGCCATTTCAAGTCCTGCCGGCGCCACTTCTGATCCAGCTCTCTGCTAATGCATCTGGGAATGCAGCAGAAGATGGCCTAAGTGCTTGAGATGGAGTTTCAGGCTCCTGGCTCTGGCCTGAATCTGGGGAGTGAATCAGTAGTCTAGATGGAAGATCTCTCTCTCACTCTACCTTTCTCTGTAATCTTGCCTTTCAAATATAAAAAATAAATGTTAAAAAGCATTCTTACTCTGGGCCATATAAAAGCAGGCCTGTGGAAGTGTAGTGGCTAAGATGCCAACTGGGGTACCTGCTTCCCAAGGAAGAGCACATGGATTTGGAGACCTGCTCTGGCTCTGGCTCTGTTCCCTGCATTAGCCTGGCCCAGCCCTGGCTGCCTTTAGCATTTGGGGTGTGAATCCAGGGATGTGATCTATCTCTCTATCTCTCTCTCTCACTCTCTCTGTTTCTCTCTCCCTCCCGCATCCCCTCCCTCTCTCATCCCCTCCCTCACTCCCTCCCTCCCTCCCTATCTTCTTTTTTCTCCATGATCACAAATAATTACAAATAAATAAAAACAAACAGATAAATAAATAACTGCTTAAAACAACTCAAAAAAGAACAGATTTGGCCTGTGGGTTTATTCATGCCTGCCTTGGGACCAGGGACAAAGCATGGACAGAGTTGGGAGAGTGGGTTTCAACAAGGACACGTTGCCTTGGTCAAGCCTTCACCTCTGCTGGACTGCAATGCCATTGCTGCAATGATCCTGGGACTGTCCCCAGAACAAAACTAAGTGTATCTGCATATCCATGGCTGTCACCAGGCATGAGCCCAGAGTCCACTGCAACACCTGCATGTCACCTGGGCCTCAGGTCCCCCACAGCCCTGCTGTTCCAGGCCTGGCACCCCTCCCCCCTCCCCACCACCATTTCTTCTCCCAGGGGACAGGACACACGTGAGTGGGAGAAGACAGAGCCCAGAAGAGCAGTGTCTGCCTGCGAGAAGCACACCCACCCACCTGAGACAGGACGTCCGGCTTCTTGCAGTTGATCCCGCCAATGAGCACCATGTTGGGCATCACCGGCCTGGGGTACTCAAACACAAAGTCGTATCTTAGCAGCCACACGGGGTCCTTCTGAAATAAGGTGGGCAGGTCCACTTCCCTCTTGAGGAGCTCTACCGCCAGGTCCTCATACTTTGAATATAGACAGTAAAATAGAGGGACCTCCAACAAGTTAACGAGGAAGTTGACCACGCGCTGGGGGAAGCTCATCTGGTCGGAGAACTTTGTGTAGCACCGGGGGATGTACGACACCGGGTTGGGGCTTCCGCCAAACCCATGCTCCAGGGAACAGGGGAAGCCCCTGAACAGGTACACGGAGGGCAGGCCCAGGTACTCAGCCAGGATCACACCACAGGGTAAGGCCGGGTCTGTGAAAAGAGCATCGAACTTGCCCGCCCTGAGGAAATCCAAGGTGTCGCCGTGTCTCAGCAGGCTCTGGCAGTTGATGAAGTACATGTCAATCACAACCATGTTATTCCTGTATTCCGTCTGAGGCCCGCTCAGCCAGGACCTGTCAGTAAAGTGCTTTTCTCCAAAGGTGCGATACCGGTAACTCTGCTCCTCCTGGTCAAACGGCACTGGATAGATTCTCCTCGTGTAGAACCTGGATTCTCTCAAGAGCAAGTTGACTTCTGGCACCAGCACCACGATTTCATGCCCCCTCGCCCCAAGAGCCTCAACTATGTCCTGCATGCTAAGCCAGTGGCTTCCATCCTGGGGCACCACCAGCAGCCTGTCACCCACCACTGTGCCCCAGAGTGCCACGAAGAGAACCCCCGCAGACGCTCTCTGAGCTGCAGAAAGCAGGCAGGCCATCCTGGAGAGAGTTAGAGTGACAACAACAATAAATATTCATACACCCTGCCCTGCACCGCAGGCCTGGGAGGCTACGTCCCCTGAACCAAACAGTGCTTTCACAGACTCTGTGTCCTTCTACCTGGCTCGGAATCCTGCCTTTTTATTTCAATGAACCTATATTAATCATTAACCTTTTGTTAGGTGCCAGCTCACTTGAACCAATTACGGCCCCATGTGTTTTCACCTGCAATTCTATGTGGATTTTCCCTTTGTCTCCAACCAATATGCCTCTCCCTATTAAGGCTTCATAGCAACAATTTGAGGACAAGTTAGAAAGACCCCTGATGCTACCCTTTTCCCTCTGTCAGCTCTCTGTCCTGAACTCCTGCATACCTCATCATCAATGATATTCACGAACGAATGAATAGTAATGCTTTCCACTTTTTTTTGTCATGTTTTCTCAAAACAAATTGAGGCATTAACAGGTGATAAAATCAAGATTCAAAACAACACAATGCACTGCCAGTCCAGTTTCTGGTTACCATGGTGATGCATGGGTTCAAGCCTGCGATTACAGGGAGCCACATGGGCATTGGGCAAGTCTGATATGAATTCCACTTGCAATGCCCTTGACTAAGCTGCAGTTACTGGAATTTTTGCATTATGAGCAGCAAATTCTAGTCCAAAGGATGTGAGCTCTAAGACATAATTGCCACCTCCAGTGTGGTTAAGAGCATAATTCTGGAGTCAGCCTGCCCCTGCCTGGCTGGGTGAGCTCATTGCTCTCTGCCAGTGGCTTCATGTTCAGTGAGGATTGCATCAGTGCCGCTCCAGGACTGTTGCAGGAATTGGCGGAGTGAATTCTCCAGAGACAAGGACAGACTCAGTAGAGGCTCTCCCTCTGGCTCTGATTATGCAACGTGGGTCAATTTGGCAGTAATTAAGGGACAAAAAGTACTTTTGAAATATCTCAGTGAACAAAAGATTCACCCCTGCCCTGTGAACAACAGACAAGAAAAAGGGGGAGGAAGAGGAGGCAGGGTAAAGGAAAAGGGCGGGCGGCAGGCTGGCAGGCCACTCCTACGCTCAGGACTTGGCTGGCCAGAGGCTGACCGTATGGGAGCTTCCTCGACTGTCTTCTGGGGGTTTGCTGGCAATCTTCAGGGCACCTTCAATCTTCAGCACCCCAGTTTCCACCCTACTCCTCTCATGATATTCTCCCTGTATGCCTAGTTCCATGCCAAATTTCCCCTTTCTTTAAGGACAGTGGGCTTGTTAGATTAAGACCCTCCCTAAAAAGCTTGTCTTAATGGATTACAGCTGCAACGGCTGTTTCCAATATGGTCACCTTCTGTAGAATTGGGTATTAGAGCTTGGACACATCCTTTGGGGCCACCATCCAGCCCATAGCCCTTGGAGGTATTGTGCCATGGTGGACATAATACAGTCACATCCCAGACAGTCCAACTCTGGGATGCAGGCATGGCTACCCTTCTATTGGTGAAAAACTGAGGTTTCCTAACAATGGAAAGGATATTTTTTTGTAACTCCTGGGGTTTTAGAGTGAAAAATAAAATTGGCAAACTTTTCCTGTAAAGGTCCAGATAGTAAATATTTAAGGTTTTGCCAACCACTCAATATCTTTGATCATGATCCAACTCTGTCATTGTAGCCAGAGAGCAACCATGGACATTACTGAAAAAAATGGATGTGGTTGTGTTATAATAAAACTTTATTTGTAGAAACAGGCAACCTATTATGTTTGGCCCTGCTGTAGATGATGACGAAAACCAAGATGTCAACTCTACCCAAGATATCCACATGGCTTGATCCCTCCCTCACTGCAGGTTTGGTCAGTGCCATTTCAGACCTTCTGCTGCTCCAATTATCAAAGAACCTGGCCCATCCCTTTGCTCTGAAGTCCCTCCTCCTCATTCCTCAGCCTCTTCCCTACCATATATTTACTGTGTGTCTCCTGGAAGGAATGGGAGCACCTTGGGCAAAGGGCCAACGTCTGCTTTGTTCTCTGCCATATTCCCAGTGCCTGGAACGAGGCCTGGTATGCAGTAAGCTCTCAGCAAATGTTTGCTGGATGGACAAACTAGCTTTTCGGGGTGACTATCCATTTTATTCTCATTTCTCATTTTGTCTTTCACATAGTTAGGATTCACTCAAGAAATCGGAACGATTGAAGACCCACAGGATCCTTTCTGAAAAGCTGGTCACTGACTCCATCTACGTGTGTTTAAGGAAAAGACCGACTGGTTTTGCTTCTATGCCTGCACTCAACACACGCCTGTCTGTGACCAGATGTGTGGGGGTTTCTCCCACACTCACCAACTCTCCAGCACCCACTGGGTGTCTGCAATTCCGTCCTATCTGGCCACCAACCAGAACTCTCCAGCACCCACTGGGTGTCTGCAATTCCATTCTATCTGGCCACCGACCAGAACTCTCCAGTACCCACTGGGTGTCTGCAATTCCATCCTTTCTGGCCACCAACCAGAGTCAGGGCAGACCCCGCAAGGTAAAGGTTCAGTCCTCCAAGACTGCCCTGACTCTGACCCCAACCACAGGAACGCTTGCCCAGACTACCCACAAATTCTGTCTGGCTTGGCTGCAAATTAGAGGTCTCCACACCCTCCATCTTGGCTCAGTTACTTGCTAGGATGACTAACAAAACCATGGATAATGGTTTATTGAGTCAGTTCATAGCTTATTACAGAGGGTGCAATAAATGAACCCATGAAGAAGCACAAGGGAAGATGTGTGGCAAGAGGCACAGGGCTCCACGCTCCCTCCCTGCGAGTGCCCCTGCAGCCTGCTGCAGCCCGAGAGCTCTCTGTGCCCTGCCCTGTGGGGTTTTAACGGGGACTTCATTGAGGAATCACTGGCCATTGGTGGTCAGCCTTTCAGACCAGGCCCTCCTCTACCACGCAGTCACAAGTCGATTGCCCTGGCCACCAGCCCCAGTCCCCAGGGACTTTCTGAAAGTCACTTGAGTCATAAACTCAGGCGTGGTTGAACAGGGCTTGTTTTAGAGAACAGAAGGCACTCAGTTCACCTTTCACACTCCCATCCCTTAGGAAATTACAAGGGTGTTAGGAGCTCTAGCCAGGAAATGCAGACCAAGACCCAGACGGATATTTCCCATTCTATAGCACATATCAAAACATGCAACCCAGGACTTGCCTTTAGGAAATCCAGTCTTCAGAGTGGAAGTGAGGCCAGCACGGTGAGAGCCCCGGAGAAGGACTCAGAGAGCCTGGTGTCTGCCTCCACGTCAGCCAGGGGAGGGGCTGACTTTCTGAGCATCAGATTTTGCAACTCAGAGCCAGGGGGAGGGTCAGATCTGGGGAAGGGCCCACCCTACGTATTATGGAAGAGGGCCCAGAAGATTGTGGATGTGGAAACCAGACCATCTCCGTGAGACACAGTCCCTAGTACAGCCAGCGTAGGCTTGCCCAGAGCTAGTCACGCACAGGCCTGTCCTGACCCACACCTTTGGCACTGGAGGCACAGTAGAGCCTGGGAAAGGAGAAGCAGCTTGAAGCACCAGATTGCAAGTACATGGCAATCTCCAGGCTGGCCCCAGGAACACAGCCAGCATGCAAGCTCATTGTTCAAGCCACGCAAAGATCTGGCCCCATCCAAGCCGGGAGCCACCTCCCAGGGAGAGAGGCCAAACAGGGCTTCCTACTTACAATGATCAGAGTGAGGAGGGAGGCAGGAGGCTTCTACCACACAGCAATAAGGCCCCAGAAAGGTATAACAGAGACAATGGACCGTGGTCAACCCTGCAGACAGTTAAGAGCTAGGCAAGACCCCTCCCCCAAGAATGGTAAGTACAAGTTTACTTGAAAAGGTTCATGGTGAGGCCAGCATGGTGGAACAGTGGGTTAAGCTGCCATCTGCAGTGCCAGCATCCCATATGGGCACCAGTTCAAGTCCTGGCTGCTGATCCAGCTCTCTGCTATAGCCTGGGAAAGCAGTGGAAGATGGCCCAAGTCCTTGGGCCCCTGCACTCAAGCAGGAGACCCAGAGGAAGCTCCTGGCTCCTGGCTTCAGCCTTGCCCAGCCTTGGCTATTGCAGCCATTTTGGGAGTGAACCAAAGGACGAAGGATCTCTCTCTCTTCCTGTCTCTCTGTGTAACTCTGCCTTTCAAATAAATAAATAAATTTTTTTTTATTTGCCAGGCAGAGTTATACAGTGAGAGAGAGAGAGACAGAGAGAAAGGTCTTCCTTCCATTGATTCACTCACCAAATGGCCGCTATGGCCAGCGTTCTGCCGATCCAAAGCCAGGAGCCAGATGCCTCCTCCTGGTCTCCCATATGGGTGCAGGGGCCCAAGCACTTGGGCCATCCTCCACTGCCTTCCCAGGCCACAGTAGAGAGCTGGACTGGAAGAGGAGTAGCCAGAACTAGAACCCGGCACCCATATGGGATGCTGGTGCCGCAGACAGATGATTAACCAAGTGAGCCACAGTGCTGGCCTCAATAAATAAATAAATCTTTTAAAGAAGAAATTCATGAAAAATGGAATGAAAATCCAAGTTTAGGGGCAGGTGTTTGGTATAGTGGTCAAAATGCAGGGAAGTGCGGCTTACCCAGAAGACATGTGCAGTGGGCAACGGTTCTACTGCAAGGGCTGTGTCTACAACTCTGCAGCGGGCTTGCAGCAATATGAGTGGTGGTCCCAGGAGCAGGGGGAGTGGCACAGGCTACTCCTCCTCCTCGTGAAGGGCCCTCCACGATCAGCTCTTTTCGCACCTCCACTTTGACTTCCAAAGTGTAAGTCACAGTCCGAGCTATGTCTATTTCATCACGGCTACATCCCCAGCACTCAGCAAAGCACAGAGTCTCTCGATAGATTCTTGTGAAATGAGGACCCTTCACATTAAATGATGACTAGCAGCCAACCGCAGGTTATTCTGTAACACCATCAGAAACAACTGAAATCTACCAAGGGAACAGTCGATGATGTAAATCAAACCCAGGCTGGGCAAAGTTCACTGCATGGAACATTCCCAAAGGGTCAAGGCAAAACATTTCCCAAGAGCTCTGCTGTCTTCAGAGGGAGGCAGTCATGTGTAGAGGCCAGGCACATGGGCTGTGAAGTCAGTACAACCGGGCCTGTTGCACATGAATGTTCAGAGCAACACTATTCATTGGGAAACAGTCAAAACACCCACCAACAGATAAAGGATAAACAAACTGTGGCAAATCCATACATGGAATGCAATGCAACCATACAAAGGGACAGAGTGCTGACTCATACTACAGTAAGGATCAACTCTGAAGCTAGGTGAAGATGTTAGTCACAAAGGACCACATACTGCAAGACTCTATCTCCAAGAAAAGCCACACAGACAAAGGCCACTTGGGATGGCAGCATCCCATACTAGAGTGCAGTTCAGCATCTCCACCTCTGGTCCAGCTCCTGGCTAATGCTCCTAGGAAGGCAGTGGAGGATGGCCCAAGTGCATGGGCCCCTGAGACCCACATGGAAGAGCTGGAGAGAGTTCCAGGCGCTTGAGTTTGGCCCCCAGCCCCAGGCATTGCAGCCATTTGTGGAATAAACCAGTAGATGGAAATCTCTCTCCCCTCCCGGACCCCTACTCCTGCAAGGTCTGTCGATCCCTCTCCTCCTCACTCTGCCTTTCAAATAAATAAATAAATCTTTTTTTTAAAAGAGAAGAAAATGAATTCCCAAGGCTGGGAGAATGGGGGGAATTGAGAAGTAACTGCCAACGAGCCTGGGGTGTCTTTTGGATTGAGGCAAAGTTCCTGGAATGAGCTAGTGGTGAATGTTGCCTGTGTCTGACTCTGCTGAAGAACACTGAACTGTACAGTCTAAAAGGATGAACGTTAAGGTCTGAGAATTAAACATCAATTTTTTTAGAAAGAAGAACGTGTGGGTTGAACCCTTTATGGAAGTTTAGAAGAAGGAATAGCGACTACAGGTCTGTGTCTCCTAGACAGTAAAACTCACTCCAAGGCTGCTGTAAGGAAACTACGAAGCTGGTGCCCGAGTAGAAAAACAAATCAGAGAAGCCAGGCTGCAGGGAAGCAGATCAAAAGGGCACAGATGCTCAAAATATGATAAAGGTGCATTTCAATACACTGGATAAAGACTGCATTCTTTGCTAAATGATGTGGGACAATGCACTATTGGTAGAGAAAAAAATAAAATCAGATCCTTCCAGTGTACAGTTTAAAGTTCTCATTATAAAAAAATACTACTAATATCAGAGGAATTAAAAACATTAAAACATGATGTGCCATAAAGATTCCTATGTCTCAGGTTTAGAAAGAGCTAAACAAGTCGAAATCCAGAAAAAAAAAACTGAGGAAAAATTAACCAATCTAACCCAAACATGAAAATCCTGTAGGAAAAATGATGAAGAAGAGCCCAGGAAATAGTCCTAATACTCAACAGGAGTAGAGCATTTCCTGAAACAAATGACCCTACAAAAATAATTTTAAAATGTGACTATATTATTCACAACACAGAATATAAAAATGGTCAATATATCCATGAAAATAGGAAAATTGATGCAGGTACACAGAATTCTTTTGCCCAGAAAATTAACAAAAATTTAAAAGTTTGAAAACCACCGGTTGCCACAGACATGGACAAACTAGAATTTCCATATGCTGCTAACCAAAGTGCAAGGCTGTTCAGAGTGAGGGAAGCGACTTGAACATTTACTGAAATGTCATCTGAGCATGGCATTTGGCCAAGCAACAGTGTATCTAGGATGCTTGCCTGCTGAGTTAAGAGTGAGGGATCGGTGCCATGGCGCAGTAGGTTAATCCTCCACCTGCGGTGCCAGCATCCCATACTGGTGCTGGTTCTAGTCCCGGCTGCTCTTCTTCCAATCCAGCTCTCTGCTGTGGCCTGGGAAAGCAGTAGAAGATGGCCCAAGTGCTTGGGCCCCTGCACCCATATGGGAGACCGGGAGAAAGCACCTGGCTTCTGGCTTCAGATCAGTGCAGCTCCAGCCATTGCGGCCATTGGGGAGTGAACCAACAGACGGAAGACATTTCCCTCTGTTTCTCCCTCTCACTGTCTGTAACTCTACCACTCAAATAAATAAATAAATCTTTAAAAAAAAAGAGTGAGAATCTAGGAACATCAGAATGTAGAGAAAATATTAAAGAATGCTTAGTACAGCCTTGTTCACAAAAGTAAAAAGTGGAAAACCCTGAATACCAATAGCAGTTGGTTGAAGAGAAAACTGTGATTCACCCAAAGTAAAGATGTTTGTGTAATTGTTACAGGTGTGTGTAAAGCTGTATGCATTGGACTGTAAAGATGTCTCTGGGGGCTGCAGCAGTGGCCCAGCAAGGTGAAGCTGCCGCCTGCTGCACCTGCAATCCGCATAGGCACCAGTTCAAGTCCCTGCTGCCCCACTCCCCATCCAACTCCCTGCTAATGTGCCCAGGAAAGCATCAGAAGGTGGTCTGGAGATCAGAAAGCAACCTAAAAAAAAAGTCATCTCTGTTCTATTGGCAAGTGAGAATGGCAAGGTACAAACAATATGTCCAGCTTGGTGCTAGATTTTGATACAGTAGGTATCAGAGTTTCCATTAGATACATGTGTACATATATACAAATCTTAAAAAATTGGAAAAGATATTATAGGGGTGATGAAAGCATTTTTTAGGAAGTCAGCATAGGAATAAAAAAAAAAGGGGGGGGGACTTTCAGATCTCACTGTGTTTTGCATTGCTTTGCAAAACCAGTATCAAAACAAAGCCTAGAAATTATATACAATTTTATATGTCATATATACATCCATATAAGCTAAAGCAGCAGGATAAAATTTGCTAACACACCCTTAAAGGAATTGGCCAAATAACTCATTATACCAGAAAGAAACTCTGACTGCAACAAAGGTAAATGACTAATCAGAGGAATAAGAAACCTTGTGAGTTTTTTTAAGTATCAAAACCCAGATACAGGAAGACAACTCACCTTCGACAAAGGTTTCCCCTGCTGGCAGTTGATGCCGCCAACGTAGACCATGTTGGGCATCACAGGCTTGGGATGTTCCAAAACAAAGTCAGCTCGTAACAACCAAATTGATGTGTGGCTGAAGAGATCGTAGGGTGTGACATGCGTTTCGAGAACTTCAGAAGCAATTTCTAAGGTGCTTTTGAAAAAATAGGAGCATATTAAGCGCTCCTCCAAGTGGATGAGAAGGTTCCAAATTCTCTCCTTGAAGGTCATGACATCTGAGAATGCCAACCAACTTCTGGGCACGTAAGAGAGAGGATAAGGGCACTGCGTAGCTTCCTCAAGGTAATGGCAAAATACGCCCCTTCCAAAGACCACGGAGGGCAGTGAAAAGTACTTGGCAACAATTAAGCCACACATATCAAAAGGGTCCAGGAACACGGCATCAAATGAATTCTGCTTTATATATTCCACTAATTTTTTGTCATTAAATAAACTCCTACAATGTGAAAAAATGATTTCAAAAATACCTCTGGAAGAACCCGTTATTAAGTGAAATAAATTATTCTCCCGAATTTTCCATTGAGTTTTGGCAAAAACCATGAATTCACGATTGAAGTCCTCAAGAGTGTGAGACGTCGTGTAGGTCTTCATTGTACAATTCAGCGATTGTCCCAGTTGCCAACTCACCTCTGGGATGACTACAACCACCTCGTGCCCTCTCTGGATGAGTTTCTCCACGACCAAGCGCATGGTAAACCAGTGGCTCCCATCCATGGGAACCACCAGCAGCTTGCCTGCCTCGCCAGCACCAGAAGTCAGCAGCAGACACACCCATAGTGGAAGGAGGCCACTCACCACCGCAGGCGCCATGGGTAACCGCAGCCCTGAGCAACGCACCTGCTGGGAGTCCAAGCTCAGTACTACAGTAGGTGGAAGAAACACGGGCACAAAACCTGACCCAGGGAAGGGCATGTATTCCTCTAGCTTAAAATGAAAAGCTACACCCACTGCCAATGATTTACTTGGGAAAACAATAATTAATGAGGAGCATTTGCTGAGGTGCTCATTTGTGTATTTTCCAGGCAAGAGCAGCTTTGAACTATGCCCGGGAAGAGCTCACATCCTGGGTTGAAATGTGAGGTTAGAAAGTGTTATTAAGCAATGCTGTTGGCCTTTGGAGACTCAGAAATATTAAACAGAATATGAATTTGAATAAAGCCACTTTTCTGCCACTGGACCCAAATTTAAATGGGGGTTTTATCCTCGAACTATCACAGGCTCTTTCCCCAGAAAGAAATTGGTTTCTCTCCCAGGTTCCAAGTGGGAAAGGGACTGGCTTCTTCCTGGACAAGTGACCCTACTGCTGGAAAGGTCCCTAATTTGGGCATAGATCCAAAACTCAGGCACACAAAGCACAGTGGCTTTCAAAAAATCCAACTCAAACAGGGGACGTCATGAAACATAGTGATTGACTATGCAAAATCAAAGTGAAAGAAAGTATTCTGAGAGCAACAAGATTCAAGTAACAGGCCGGCGCCACGGCTCAACAGGCTAATCCTCCACCTAGCGGCGCTGGCACACCGGGTTCTAACCCGGTCGGGGCGCAGGATTCTGTCCCGGTTTCCCCTCTTCCAGGCCAGCTCTCTGCTGTAGCCCGGGAGTGCAGTGGAGTATGGCCCAAGTGCTTGGGCCCTGCACCCCATGGGAGACCAGGATAAGTACCTGGCTCCTGCCATTGGATCAGTGCGTTGTGCCAGCCACAGCGCGCCGGCCGCAGCGGCCATTGGAGGGTGAACCAACGGCAAAGGAAGACCTTTCTCTCTGTTTCTCTCTCTCACTGTCCACTCTATCTGTCAAAAAAAAAAAAAAAAAAAAAGATTTAAGTAACAATTCACATATAAAGGAGTTCCTACACTGTTATCAGGATTCTTCCAGTAGAAATTCTGTAGGCTGGAATAGACTGGGATGATATATTCAGACAAGATAGGGCATGCTCAAGGTGGGATGGCTGTAGACTGGAATGATGTATTCAAAGGACTGAAAAAAAAAATGCCAACCGGGGCTGGTGTTATAGTGTTGTGGGTAAAGCAGGCACCACATGTGGGGGTCAGTTCCTCTTCTGGCTGCTCCACTTTCAATCTACCTCCCTGCTAATGGCCTGGGAAAGTAGTGGAAGATGGCCCAAGTGTTTGGGCTCCTCCTACCCACGTGGGAGACGCAGGTGAAGTTCCTAGCTCCTGGCTTTGCCTGGCCCAGAACTGGGGAGTACCATCTGGGGAGTGGATGGAGGATCTCTCTCTTTGTCTCTCTCTCACTCTCTATGTATCTCTCTGTGTCTCTATTTCTCTGTGTAGCTCTCACTTGCAAAAGAAATCCATTTTAAAAACAAAGAAAAAAATTTCCAGCAAAAAATACTTTACCCAATAGAGTTTTCATTCAGGATTGAGTGAGACATAAACACTTTCCCAGACAAAAACTTGTGAGTTCATTACCCCTGGATCTATCTCTAGGAAATGATAAAGGGACTTTTTAAACTGAACCAAAAACCACTAATTAATAATATGAAACACTCAAAAACAAAAACCCCAATGACATAAGTAAAACATAAGCACATTAAGAATTCAGGACTGTAATAACATTGCGTAAGGCAATTTTATCCTCAGTATAAGAGTTAAACCCCAAAACTATGAGTAGCAATTACAGAGAAAGTAAGTTGTGGAGGGATCCACATGACAAAATGGTGTACACTTTGACATTAAAAACATAAAAATGTAGGTGGACGAGGAGTAGAACTGTAGTTGCTGAATGCAGTCATAGTTAAGTTGTTATTAGATGATAGACTATTGCCATTAAAAGATGTTCTATATAAGCCTCATAGTACCCAAAGGAAAAATGTTTAGTAGGAACACACAACAAAAACAAGGAGGATAAAAATCATACCTCTACAGAAACCATTAAGCCACCTTAGAGGCAAGCAAGAGAGGAAGGAACAGATTATCTACAAAACAACCAGAGAACACCTAACAGAATGGCTGTACTGGGACAGGCATTTGGCACAGCAGCTGGGACACTGCTTGGGATGCTCACACACCACACTGGAGTGTGGGTTTGAGTCCCAGCTCCATTTACACTTCCAACTTTCTGCCGATGCACACCCAGGAGGCAGCAGGTGACAGCTCAAAAGATTGGGTCCCTGCCATCCATGTGGGAGACCTGAACTGAGTTCCAGGATCCTAACTTCAGCCTGGACCAGCCTTGGCTATTTTGGGCATTTGGGAAGTGAACCAACAGATAGAAGATCTTCCCCTCCCCCTTCTCCTCCCCATCCCTACCTTTTAAATAAAATGAGAATAAATAAATAAATTTTAAAATGGCAGTAGTAAGTCCTTTTTAACAGTTGTTAACTTTAAATTCCCAATAAATGGCATACAGTAACTAAATGGATTTTAAAAAGAAAGTCTCAACTACATAAACCCCCCACCCAGAAAAGAGTCCCCATAATTTTAGACATACATGGAATGAAAGAGAAAGGTAAATAAAATATTCCTCACAAATAAAACCTAAAGAGATACAGGTAGCTATACTTGCATCTGATAAAATTCACATTAAGTCAAAAACTGGTCAAAGAGACAAAAAGAAATGCTATGTAATGATAAATGGGTCTATTGATTAAGAAGATTGAACAAGATGTGTGTGTGTGTGCGCACGCGCACACGCACGCACATACGCCAACATGTAGCACCAATACCATGAACCTAACACAGACAGAATCTTCCATTCAACATCAAAGGAATACATACTGTCAAGATCCAGTATGGAGCACACAGTGACAAATAGGCCTCAGCTAACTTAGGGGCATTTAAATTATAACAAGTATATTTACCAGACACAAGGATATGAAAGTAGAAACCAGTAACAGGAGAAATTCTGGAAAATTCACAAGGACATGAAAATTAAACACACTCCTTAACAATGAAGTTACTAAATGGAAACTTTAAAACCATCTTGAGATAAATAAGAGCAAAAACACAATAAGCCAAACTTATGGGACAGAGAAAAATAGTTCTAAGAGGAAAATGAATAGCCATAACTGCCTACATTAAAAAAAGTAAAATTTTAAGCCGGCGCCGTGGCTCACTAGGCTAATCCTCCACCTTGCGGCGCCGGCACACCGGGTTCTAGTCCCGGTCAGGGCGCCGGATTCTGTCCCGGTTGCCCCTCTTCCAGGCCAGCTCTCTGCTATGGCCAGGGAGTGCAGTGGAGGATGGCCCAGGTGCTTGGGCCCTGCACCCCATGGGAGACCAGGAAAAGCACCTGGATCCTGGCTCCTGCCATCGGATCAGCGCGGTGCGCCGGCTGCAGCGGCGGCCATTGGAGGGTGAACCAACGGCAAAGGAAGACCTTTCTCTCTGTCTCTCTCTCTCACTGTCCACTCTGCCTGTCAAAAAAAAAAAAAAAAAAGTAAAATTTTCAAATATAACCTTAACATTACATCTCAAAGAACTAGGAAAAAAAAACTAAATCCAAAATTAGCAGAAAGGAATGTTAACAGATCAGAACAGAAATAAATTAAAAAGAGGTTTCAAAATACCAACAAAACTAAGGTTTGGGTTTTTTAAAAATAAACAAAATTAACAAATCTTTAACTAGCCTAACAAACAAAAAGAGAACACTTAGAATCAGAAATGAAGTAAGAAATGTTATGACCGATGCCAGAGTAATAAAAGGATATGACATTACTGTGAACACAAATCAATAACCTTCAGAATTTGATACATTCCTACACACATGCAACCCACCAAGACTAAATTATGAAGAAGCAGCAAATATCAATAGAGCAGTAGCAAGTGAGAATACTGAATCAGTAATGAGAATCTCCCATCAAAGAAAAGACCAGGACTTGATTGCTTCCCAGCTGCATTCCACGTAACATTTAAAGACCTAATACCTGCCCTACTCAAACTCTTCCAAAAAACCAAAGAGGAGGAACATATCCAAATTCTTTGCACAAAGCCCACATTACTCAGATAGCAAAGCCAGGCAAAAATATTATAAGAAAAGAAAATTACAGATAAACATAGATTGACATGCTTAGATAAACACAGATTCCAGGGCCTGACACTTTGGCCTCATGGGTTAAGTGGCCACCTGCAGCTGCCAGCATCCCATATGGTGCTGGTTCAATTCCTGGATGCTCTACTTCTGATCAGCTCCAGCCATTGTGGCCATTGGGGGTGAACCAGCAGATGAAAGAGCTCTCTCTGTCTCTGTCTCTGTCTCTCTCTCTCTCTGTAACTCTGCCTTTTAAATGTATCTTTTTGTTAAAGATTTATTTATTTATTTGAGAGGTAGAGTTACAGAGAGAGAGAGAGAGACAGAGAGAGGTCTTCCATCCACCGGCTCACTCCCCAAATGGCCACAATCGCTAGAGCTGCACTTATCCAAAGCCAGGAGCTAGGAGCTTCTTCTGGGTCTCCCGTGTGGGTGCAGGGGCCAAAGTGCTCAGACCGTCTTTCACTGCTTTCCATAAGCAGAGAGCTGCATCAGAAGAGGAGCAGACAGGACATGAACTGGAGCCCACATGGGATGCAGCACTGCAGGCAGAGGCTAGTGTACTACGCCACAGCACCGGCCCCTCAAACAAATCTTTAAAAACAAAAACAAGTATAAAAAATAAATAAAATTTTAAAAAAACAAGTAGATTCAAAAATCCTTAACAAAATATTAGAGAACTGAATTCAAGAACACATTAATGAATTATTTCATATTACCAAGTGGGATTATCCTTGAGATACAAGGATGGCTCAACATATGCAAATCAACAAGTGTCATATGTCACATGAACAGAATGAAGAACAAAACCATATAGT